TTTTTATTAGTTGAAAATTAATACATTTTGCCACATTGGAGGGCATTAATATTAGGGCAACATTAAACATACAAATGATAACTAAAATAGAGATAAAAGAAAAAGATTTGTAGAAAGTAAAATAAGAAAATTAACATACATACGTAAAAAAAAAAAAAAAAAAAAAAAAAAAAAAATTGGAGAGAAACTAAATGAAATTAAAATAGATAAAACGCATACACACCTATATACCAGGGAGGAGTCATGCTTTGTCCCACAAATGTGGAAGCCAAGACAGGACCCCAGGAGATCCCAGTGCTTCTCTCCCAGCCGCGTCACTGGTATTGCAAGCTTGTGGAGACTGATAGAGGGCACTAGAGCAACAGACGCTCAGGACTTGAGTGGAGAATCTGGCCATTGCCAGTATTCCAATATATACATATTTACAAAAGGTCGCGGGGCCACTGCCGTTTTGACCTCCGGGGAGGATTGTATGGATGGCTGGAGCTGGATAAGAATTGTGCTACAGGAATTGGATGATGAGTGAGGTTTTGATTAAATTTGGAAAATTTATCTGAGATTAGGCCAACAACAAATGGAATATGAAAATCATTATGGAGGGTTTTATTGGTTACATAGAAGGGCATCGACTATTGTTCGGAGGACTGTAGACTGGAAGGATTGAATGCGTTTAATGTTAGAAGGTTTTGTTGTCCCCCACAGCTCTAGTCCGTAGGTCCAGATAGGTTTCAGGATTGTCTTGTAGATTAGTAGTTTGTTGTCGACTGAAAGTTGAGATTTTCTATTCATTAGTCTATATAGCTGTCCGTATCATGTGTTAAGTTGTTGTCTTTTAAGTCTGGTATGTGGGTTCCACATTAGTCTTTTATCTAGAAGAAAGCCAAGATACCAGACTGTGTCTGAGAGAGGAAGTGGTGTGGATTTGAAATAGACTGGTGCACAGGACTTGCGCCGAAGGGTAAAAGTGATGTTGGATTTGGATTCATTTATTACATCAGTGTTCAATAAAAGGTGACTTTATAGGTTTAAGGATACTGTTTTAGGATATGGGTTGGAAGATAGGATGGCTGTATCATCAGCAAATGTTGCCAGGAGGGTTTCGGGATGAGTAGGAATATCAGCGGTAAACAGAATGTAGAGGACGGGACCCAAGACGCTGCCTTGAGGAACTCCCACCTCAATTGAATGGCAGTTGGAGAATTCTGTACCACAGCGAACTTGAAAAGAGTGGTCAGAAAGGTAGGATCGGAGTATTAGATATAAGGACTGGGGTAGGTGGGTTTAAGCTTGAATTGTAGTCTGGTGTGCCATACGGGATCGAAAGCTTGTTCGATGTCCAGGAATGCTCCCGAGCAATACTCTTTGCATTCTAAGGCTGAGGATATGTGGTCAACAATTCAGAGTCCTTGTTGAACAGTGGAATGCTGGAAACAAAATCCGAATTGATGGGTAGGAAGGTTTTGTGACTCTATTATAGGTAGGATTCTTTTAGTAGGATTTTTCAAATATTTTTGAAAGGATTGGGAGTAGGATGATGTATTATTGGAAGGTTTGGCTGGTTTCAAGAAAAGGACGATGTTGGAATGTTTCCATAAGAGAGGAAAATGAGTAGTTCTTAGGATGCAGTTGTATATATATGTGAGGAACATGATCGCTTTGGGTGGTAGTTGATGAATGATCTGTGGGGTTAGAAGGTCGTATCCAGGAAATTTGCGGGAAGATAGTTTTTGTAAATCATATTTGACCTCAGAAGGATGAACTGCTTTTGGTGGTAGGGAAAGTGGAATTGGTGAGGAGAGGACTTTTTCTACTTTTGCAGTATGGGTGGGATGGGATTCAGGATGAGGAGTAAATGTACAGGAGAGGTGTTTGGCAAATTCCTCAGCTTTGTCTTCGTCAGACGCCACCCAGGAGCCATCAACTCGATAGAGGGGATGGAAAGTGGTATTTTAGGATTTTTTTTGGTGATATTCCAGAAGGAATTATCATGAGCGGAGAGGGATGCAAGGTAGGAGTTAAAGGATTGGGATTTGAAGTTGGATAATTCTTGCTTAACTTGTTTAGAGGAATAATTATAGGAACGGCGATCTGTGGGATGTCTGCCATAACAATCTGGTACGGCATTTGGTTTGGATTAACTTGAGGATGTGTTGAGGTAACTTATTTTTCTTAGGAATTATCGGGGAATGATTAGGGGAGGAAGCAGCCCAGACTGCTTGTTGAATGGTGTTGGTAAAGGAGTGTACGGCATTATCAAAGTCTTCTGAGGTTTTTAGGGTTATTCTGAGGTCAATTTGATCGGAAAGGATTTGGTGGAAGAGTTTCCAGTTGACTGAGCCTGTCTGATAAAGGACGGTGGAGAGGGTTATGGAATAGGAGCTAGTGATACTTGGAATATTAATGGACTGTGTTCTGAGGAAAGTTCATCGAAGTGTGCAATGCAATAGTTGAGTGAACCTAAACCACTGTGGATGAAGAAATCAAGGATATCGGGATTGCGATTAGAATCAGTGGGCCAGTAGTTAGGTGAGGTCAGGGGAACTAGATTAAAACGTTGGGAATTGAGTGCAGACAGCAGTGTTCGGCCGCGAGAATTTGTGGTTCTTGAGCCCTATTGTTGATGCTTGGCATTTAAGTCTGTACCCAGGATGAAATGGTGTCCTAAGGAATTGAGGAGGAAACTGAATTGGGTATTAGAGATGGATTGGTTAGGAGCTGATGCAAGGGTAATAGGAAAGGAGAAGTTTTGATTATGATAGCTGTGGATTGCAGGAAATCATGAGTAGGTAATGGGAGAAGGTGGTGAGAGAGGGATTGGTGTACAATGACTGCAGTACCGGCATGTGCTCTACCATCAGGATGGTCAGTACGATATGTAGAGTACAGTGGTATTTTTAAAATTTGTTTTTTGGTCAGTCGAGTTTCCGTAATAAGGGCTACATCAACGTTCTTGTCCAGTAAGAGAGCTGTCAGTTCGTCAGTGTGATTTCTAACACCATTCGCATTCCAAAGGAAAATTGATAAGGGTTTGATGAAATTCATTTAAGGATTTTTTAAAGGAGGGATAAGGTGAGATACTAGATTTGTAACAAGAGATATCAGTGGGGATAACAAGAGATTTGAATTCAGTGAGGAACAATGCCAACAAACTGGTAAGGTCTGTGGCTCATGATGGAGGAGGAATATGAGGAATGTGATGTTGATGAGGTTGTTGAGGGTTTTGTACTTTAGGAGGGATAGGATGTTGAAGTTGGGATTGGGGTTCCTGTTGCGGCAGGGTCCCACATTTGTCAGTAAAGGCTCTTCCCCCTAGTAACTGGGAAAAAGAAACTTTTGAGTTTACTATTTTAGCAGGTCCTCTTCTGGGCTTAGAGATTTCTTCTTGGTTTCCAGGTTTACGAAATTTATTTTTGATGTATTTGTAGATCTGGCAGCCCTTGTAGTTGGCAGGATGTCCTTCCAGGCATAAAGCACATACAGTGGGAGTAGTTTTCAGTTTATTGCATTCACTAGTCTTGTGTGACTCTCCACATTTCACGCCCCTTGGGATGTAGTGGCAGTATGTTTTGGTGTGGCCGTATGCCTGGCAATTATGGCACTGGATGATTTCTCTTTTAGTGTTTTTCAACCTTGACACTAGTATAATATAATGTTCTAATTTCATATATTTTATCGACTCCTGCTGAGAGTTCTAAATCTATGAAAAATATGGATAATGGTATTTTTCTATTAGCGCCGGATACATCTCTGTCGTCCTTCATTACATTGGTGACCTGTCAGACTCGGTTGGAGTAGAAGGGTGTAAATTCCAGATTACTACCCTCAGGAAATGCTCTTGCCTCAATTGGTAGGTGTAAAAATCTGCCTTTGTGTCGGATAGATATTTAATTATTTGGCGGGTATGTATCAGCTGTGCAGTCGTCTCCTGAGATGAACCTGGCTGAGGTTGAGTGTCTCCTGCTACTTTCGGTGGAGTTGCAAGTGGCGTCATTCTTTTCGATTGGCGACTTTTTTTTCTGCAGGTGACGAACGTGGTGTAGATCTGGCAGAGCGAGACCTCGTTGTTGCACCCTTAGAAGACATGAGTTAATGGTAGTATCGCCTAATACATTAAGAGAAAAGTGAAGGAAAAAAAATATGTAAAACACGCTGCGTGACCTTGATTTTGTATCAACGTCGCAAAAGGACCTCTCCCGTTAAGGCTCCAAGCCCAACTGATTAGTCTGGGCCAGGTACTTATGGCTGCGAGATAAGAGAACTGGCCTCTATACACCGGCTTCACTTCACACAACTGTACACAATAAATAACAACTGTACTCACTTTGTCATTAGTGCATATTATGGCCCAGGTGTTTAGCTCACGAATAGTCACAATTTTATTAAAAAGTAACACTAATTTTCCAAGAAAAAATGAATATATCTAAGAGACGAGGTAACTGTGGTATATTATAATCTAGCGCATGTGCAGAACTGAAAAGTTTTGTTAATACAGCTAATTTATTGATGATGTGTCCTTTGCCGTTTTCCAACATCAATAATTTCTCTAAGTGGGATTCCTTATCCATAATCCTTCTCTATAGCATCCTTTAAACTCAAGTTTTTTATTATATTATATAGATATTTATTATTATACTATATATAATATTATATCATATATATATATATATATATATATATATATATATATATATATATATATATATTTATTATTATATGATATATAATATTATATTATATTATATATATGTATATACTTATTTAATTATCTTCACCAACTTCGTTCTCAATTTATTCTTGTAACAATTTTTAGTTTATATTTAATTATGGTTGAATCAAATACTTAATAGGAATTATTCTATGTGTAATAGATATTAACTAAGTTTAATATATAAGTAACAAAAATTTTGTTTTAATTATAACCACAAATATTGTTATTCTTAGAAGACATCTGTCTCTGATCAAAAGTTATTTTAATTTAATTCCTTTTTTTTTAATTTTAGAGTTATTTTCAACGAGTTTTTTCCATCAAAAACACAAAACTTGCTCGAATGATGTCAATTTGGTCAGTTATTGGGTGTGGTCTTATTGCTATACCTTCTACTTTAATGGGTTACTATGCTTTAAAGACAGGTATTAATCTGTCATATTTTGTCTTATTATTCTATTTGTTTTCCAACTTTGTTTATTGCCTTTTCAATGATTTTGATTATTTTTCTTTTCTTTGTTTTTAATTGGATAATTACTTAACATTTTCTCAATTCCAGTAAATATCTTTTTATTTTTTAGACTGGGGAAAAATTGAAGGTTATGGAAAGCAAATACCTGAAGAAGATTATGTTCTAGTTTTACCTCTGGTGCTTAGATATCTTACACCCAAAGTAATTTTACTTAATATTATTCTAGATTATGTGATCTATGGTCATCATGAAAACAAAATTAATATTGTTATATATAAAGGCTTTTGTATACAGAACATGATCCATGGTGGCAATCTAATCGTATTCCTACCAATTGCATTGTTACTATCAGACTGAATGTAATCTGTCACAGAGAGCCATTTAAATGACAGATTATGTTCTATATGCATGAGCCTTTATGATTTTTGTTTTAACTTTATATAAATTGAAGAGTTCCAGTAAATAACAATTACATTATTTTTTTAAATTTTGCATTATTCAATTCATTAGCTATTGTGTCCAATCCCGCTATTGATGAATTCTAAAGTACTAGCAAAGAGTTTTATCAATATCTGTTGAAGGGATTATATGTTATCATCTTTGATATTGATAAGCTGTTTTACTTGATTCATATAAAATTCTGTTAATTCTAATAATTTAATTTTGAATGTCTTTGATATGTCTGACATTCAAATTTTCCTTGCCTAAAAAACTAGAAAAACTCAAAATATGTTCCTGTTAAAAATAGTATGTGTTTTAAATGCAAGTTCAGATCAATTTATTTACATTTAAATTATGTTGCATTAAATTTTATATTATTTTGGCTATATATATATATATATATATATATATATATATAATGTAAAGTTTCTAAATATTCCTGTTGTAATAATGATTCTTAGATTTTTCTCTTCCTATATTTTTACAGTTTGCCTTTTTTATAAATGAAATTGCATGAATTTAGTTATCATAACAGACATAATTTTGAGTTTCTTCTGGCATACTATTATATTTTTTAGCTTTACATCTCCAAAAAATCTCCTAATTCCAGTAGTGTTTAATATTCTTTGATTGGATGCTGATATTGATTTTTTTTTTTTTATAACTTATTACATAAAAATCGAACCTAATATTATCATTAAATATCAATACATGTGATAGAATATTATATTATATATCATTTACTATTTGTTTCAAAGAGTCTATCAATCTGTGAAATTTTAGGAAGAAAGAACTCATCCTTCACACTTCATAATCTTTAATTATTTTAATGGACAACATTTATCCCACTCTGTCCATTTGCAAGTCCAGTTTCAGCATTAAAACATTACATCAACTTTTTTTTTTAAATATTAATATTATTAAATAATAATCAAAAACTTTATCATTTGCATCATTTCCAATTAAAACCAACATTTGTCAACGCATCGATATAACATCACTTCTTATTATTATAAAAAATAAAAGTTAAGTTAGAAAATTAAATAAAAGTTAAAAAATAAAAATTCATAAAAATAAATAAATTAAAAACTTTCTTCTTATATTAATTGATGTTCAATAATTTACTTAAGGAATAGTTTAATGTTATTTTAGGTACAATGTATGAAAATTGTTCTCTTCTGTATGTTACTAATGTACCCATCGAATAAACCATGAAACTAATAAACTCAAACTGGGACCAAATGAAATATTATACTCCAAAGATAAAAACTTGTTCATGGAAGGATTAAATATATATTTAAAAGATAGATTTTTTATATATAATAAAGAATATTACAAACAACCTGATGGATTACCCGTCGGCTCAAATCTAGCCATTAATATTAATGGTGTATACATGAACCAACTAATAAAAAAATCGTTTAGAGAAAATACCGATAAAACCAACTTTAATAAAAAAATATTGGATTGTGCAGAAAATAATGCAGGTTTTTGAGTTTTCTTTAAAATACCCATCTATATAACAAACTGTTTACGTTTACTGGATTATTCATTTGTATGAATGTCAACAATTATTAATCCTCTTCCAAACGATAATGTTTGTTTACCTCTGTAGCATTTCACTGCTTAGAAATAATTCGGTCTTTACTGAGATGTCTTCGTTTGATTATGGTTTTGTTTTACTAGTTTAAATTCGGCCAGAATGGGGCCCAGATGGCCAGAAACATCAAACAAGTCTGGGACGAGAGCAGCATTAATGAGTGTCCTGTTCAACGGTGGTTCAAAAAATTTTGGGAGGGAGACTTCACCCTTGAAGACAAAGGTTTTGGAAGAACTTCCTCTCTTGATGACGTTGTTCTATGGGCTTTGCTGGAAGAAAACTCCAGAACAACTGTTCGAGAACTTGCTGAGAAACTTAACCTTAGGAAATTGACCGTTGATGACCATCTCGAGGCAATTGGAAAGGTAAAATAACTTGAAAGTTGGGTTTCACACACATTTAATGACTGGGGAAAAAACCAGCGTTATGAAGTTTGTGCTACACTTCTTTGCCGAAACCCCTACCCTTTTCTGTCCAGAATTGTTACTTGTGATGAAAAGTGGATACTTTACGTTAACAGTAGACGTTCTGGAGAGTAGCTCAACAAAGGAAAAGCAGCAGAACATTTTCCAAAGCCCCCAGCTCAGCAAAAACAGGTGATGGTTACTGTTTGGCGGGTTTCATTTGATTTGATACACTACAGCTTCTTAAATTGTGGAGAAACCAACAATGTTGAATTGTATTGTAACTAATTAATTCAATGCATCAGAAATTGACAATAATGAAGCCATCTTTGGTCAATCGGAAGGGGCCCATTTTGTTGGATAACAATGCCTGGCCATATGTCTCATGTGTGACATCACAAAAACTGTTGGAGGTTGGATATGAAACTCTGCCACATCCGCCCTACTCTCCAGAGCTCTCGCCAATGGATTATTTTTTTATACACCTGGACCACTACTTACAAAAAAAAATTTATGGACAAAGGGAATTAGAAAATGCATTATTAGAGTTTATCAATTTTAAAGATGGGGAATTCTATTCCGAGGAAATGGAAAAGTTGCCAACACCTTGGCAAGAATGTATTGATAGTAGTGGAGACTATTTTGATTAAATAAAACAGTTGTAAATCTTTCTGTTTTCTTTTTAAACCAAAATCCTGTATTTTTTGGACAACCCAATATATAGATGACATAATAATAATAGACAATGTGGAGACCCAAAATAATATATTACATGTATTTAAAATAAACATAAACAACATAAAAAAGTGGAATTTACAATAGAAAAATCAAAGGAAAACAATATCAGATTCCTTGATATAGAAATAACAATAAGAAAAAAATAACAACCAAATGGACAAAAACTGATTACCAGCAATTTCCTACTAAACTATAATTCAAACCATCCCAGAACACAAAAAATAAATACTATAAAAAATTTCATACATAGAGCAAAGACATACTGACGAGGAAAATTTGAAAATATCAAAACACAAATTTACAAAATTTGGGACAAGAACTTTTATCCTAAAAACTTATAAATAAAATATGGTACAGCATAAATAAATATGAACAAATAAAAAATAATCAATCAAACAATACAGAAATTTCACACTCCAAATTAAGTAATAATACTAATAATAAAAATACCAAAGAAATGATAGAAATAGAAAAATAAAATGAAACGCTGATAACAGATTTTTATAGACAGAATAATAAAGAAAGAAACGAAATAAAATGCACAATAGAGACCTCACATAGAACACAAAACTATAAAACACAATTAAATAAATATCATAAAATGCAATATATCCCAAATCTGACCAATAAGATTAAAAAAGAACTCACCACATATGATTACCACAATATAAAACTTGGAATACATAATAACAATAAATTAGGAAACTACTTATCAAATATGAAGGATGAAATAGAAAAATTAGACAAACAAAATACCATTTATGAAATAGAATTGGCTTGAAGTAAAAATTGCAACAAAGTATACATAAGAGAAACCTCAAAAAAATTAAAGACTAGAATCAACCAACGTAAAAATAACTGTAAAAGTATATAAAACATAAATGCAACTGCTCTCTCACAACATAGTATATATAAAAAACATAGTTTTGATTTCAATAATACAAAAATTATACACATAGTATAACACACAAAAAATAGAAAAAAAGAAGAGGCAATCCACGTCACCAAAAATATAGAAAAAAAACAATAAACTATAACACTGATACAAGAAAATTAAATAACCACTATCCTCATAAATAAATTCAATTCAAATCATATATAAATTAAAAAATATATAAAAACAATAGTCAAGAGAAGAGCCAAATAAATACATATAGGGGAGAGGGGGTGAATAAAAGGATTAGAACCAAGTCCACTTAAATAACAATCAATGTGATGATGAAAATTGACTAAATGATATATAAAATTATTAAATGAAATATAGAAAGAAAGACAATTTTTTTCTTAACATGCATCAGAGGAATATGAGATAGAAGAAAAACATTAAAAAGATAAAATAAAATAAAAATGAATTGTATGTAGACTTTAAACAAATATATGTAAATATAAAAAAAAATTGTAACAAATATTAATAATGTTAATGATGTTCTAATAATGAAAGAAATGTTTCTGAAGATGGGCAAAGATTCCAAAACGTTGGACAGATAAATAACATACGGAAGAAAAAAATGTTCATACATTATACCTAAAATAAATTAAAAAATATATATTGCAGAATTATCCTTATACAGATTGTTCCATTTATAAAATATGTTTATCCAATCAGGAAATTATCCTAATAAAAATAGAAGCTTTATATTCCTTAGGTCTCATCAGTGGTGGATCGAGGAATTTCCACAGGAAGGATACACCTCTATACTAGGTGATTCCCCCACCTCTACTCGTTCCCGCACCTCTATCCATCTCTTCCCACTCCTTAGCTGAGTTTAGTCCCTCAAAAGTCTTCGCTAAATGGTTTTAACAATAGTAAACTATTTTTATTTAAATTAATTTTGTCTAGTATACGCAATCGTTAATTACTTAAATTAAATAACTTTTTAGTTATCACTTCCTATTCAACAAAAAACGTGACACTTAAAAACCACAACACTTTAATTTTCTGCTGAAAATAGAACCATTGTTTATATAAACTTTTTTGTAGCTCTTTAGTTCTGCTATCGCTCCTTTAAATATTTCCCTATCACTCTTTTAATCTCCCTCTCTCCTCTGAATTTTTTTTTTTTAAATATAATGACAATATGTTTGGGTAGGTAGGAATTACTCTTTTGGAGAAAGGAAAGGAAGAACCCCCTTAAATATTTTAAAATACAAAATGGCAGTATTTTTATCGCCATTTGACTGTTTCAAAGTTTCTTTTTTGTTCAAAATTTGACTTTTATAATAATTTTTTTTTTATTACTGAACTTTTTTTTAAATATTAAATCATTAGGAAACAAAAACAGAACCAATTTGAAACAAGAAATATTTTGATGTCTAGAAATAAAATAAACGGAAATGAAAACATATATATACTAGGTAAGGAAAATATTGCAATGGGGTAAAATTTTGGATATACGGTTTTTGACGGATCTATATGTTTCAGAGCCTCCTGATTTCAAAAAACACATTTTTAGCCATTGGTCTATCTGTCTGTGCCAAGATTTTCTCGGGAACTACTGAACCGATTTTGTTGCTTCTTTTATTATTTTGAAGGGTTTTGACTACTAATGCCTGCGGCACAAATTGGATGCTCTATGTGCAATAGCTGCTGCGCGATAAATGAATAACATGTTTTTCTATAGATTGTAGCGCAAAAATGTCTCTAATGATTTTGATGAAACTTTCCTATAATGTTCTAATAATTGTCTTTTCAATTTTTGTATATGGACTAAATTCCTGAGAAAATTCAGGAAAAAAGTTATAAAGAAAAGAAAAATGTTTTGGAGCCTAACTAGCTAAGTGTATATTCTCTGGTAAAATTTATAATGAAACTTTTGAAAGGTAATTAAATTACCGAAAAAAAAATCATCGGAATCGAACCAGTATTAGCAATGGTACAGAATATTCTATTTTCTATTTTAATTTATTACTTTCCTACCTATACTAGGTAAGGAAAGTATTGCAATAGGGTCAAATTTCCGATATGCGATTTTTGACAGATCTATATGTTTCAGAGCCCCCTGTATACATTTTAGCCTGTTTTTTTTAAGGTAATGAAATTCCCTACAAAACTGAATAAAAATCGTTCATTTCGAACAACTATTAACAAAGTTACAGCTATTCTATTTCCAATGTAAGATTAAGGGTTCATATCTTGGTGTCAGAAAGAGGTGAATAAGAGAAAAAAGATGACTAAGTGAAAGTAAGAAAATCTGTTGCCCGCATCGCACAAGCTTCAATATTTCCTCTACTTTTAACAGAAACAGCAATATTAGAGAGTATTGAAATGTTTACACTGATCTACCTTAAGCCGGTTTATATTGCTTTAGTTTATCGAATAAATTGTACTCAAATCTTTTCTTTGATCACTTTTCAGGAAAATAAATCTAATTCAATTTTTTTTGTTTCTTGGTGGACATATGTAAAGATATAAAAACTTTTCTGAAATAGGTAGGAAAGTCATTTGAGTGGACGCACCATTTTTTTTTTTTTCTATGCTAAAGCCAAGGCAATTAAAGTAATAGGAAATTCATTATTTGTCATTTCCAAAAAAAAGGAGAAAGATTTTCTCTTTGGAAACCTCTTTCTTTAGTGGAAGCAAGGTCTTAAGTGATACATAATATTGACTCAATATAATAAACCCGTGTGAGGCACCCCGTCAATAAATTGCCTTCAATGAAATTGGCTCAATAATATTGACTGTTAGAGGCCCTTTACATTCTATTCTTTGTATCACAAGATCTCACCTGCTAAAAGGCCGGGCACAAGTTGATCCACAGCCTGATGAGGCGATATGATATGTCAAACCTTAAGATTAATAAAAATGGTCATGATAATAATTTTTTTTAAGATCACATCAGAAAACTCTTTATTGAGTTTCTTCAGCTTCATTGAGATCAGTTCTCTCTATATTTCTCTTTTTTTGCAATAGCTGTTTTTTGAAATTTTTTCGGATTTTTTTTTCCACCATTCTAGGGAGAGCACTTCTCCTGGCAGAATTCGCTAGTGCTGGTCACGATAATAATTTTTTTTTTATATCACATTAGGAAATTTGTCTATGAGGATACATTTCTCCTATATTTCTCTTTTCTTTAAATAGTTGCTTTTTGGAATTTTTTCCCACCCTCCAGGGGAAGGCGAGTGCCCCCCAATTGGATCCGCTAGTGGGTCTCATAACCAAATTTGTTATACCTTTTATCATTTTTCAATTAAAATGTCTGCAACATTTAATATTTTTATTTCCTAATATTCATATGAATAGAATCAATAATATTTAGTTAAAAAATAAAATAAAAATTTATAGATCAAAAATAGATTATAAAGTCTGAATGATATGGATCTTTTTTCCTGAAATTTCACATATACTTTTAATACCAATTTAAAAGAGAAAGCCCAAGTTTAGATTTATTACTAAGGGTTAATATGGTTAAAATGAATCTTCAAATCTCAAAAAATCTTTCTATATTCAAATATAAGTTTAACAACAATAATATTACATACAGGTGTTTTTATATAATAGTACAAATCAAAATATTTCCAAATGACTAAAACTGAGACCAGCCATTAACTTCATTATCCATAAGTTGAAACGATTCATATACCTAATAATTGGTTCTGATATAAAGAACATAGTGTAATGTTGTTGTTTTTTTTCTGTCAAATTTATACATATATATATATATAAAACTTTCTCTTATGAAATAGTTTAAAGCATTAATTTCCTTTACAGTTATATACAAAATTCAAGTGGCATTTTAATTTTTTTTTTTCTTTCCACAGTGGGTTGGAGTTTTAGGAATGGGTGCTGTATCTGGAGCTGTCATGGCTTCTGCTGATTCTGCACTATTGGCATCTAGCTCAATGATTACAAGAAATGTTTATAAGCATTGCATCAGAGTAAACGTAAATATAATATTTTTATCGGTTTATAAAAATTTAGTCTTTTCAATTCAATGTTCTATATATTGTATGCACAGACGTGTAATATCTTTAATTGCATTTGAAATACTGAATTCTTGATATCATTATATATTCAGAATGGATGAAATATATAAAGACATGTCTTTTAGCTGATATTCTTAAATATTGAAATAATAGGATGTGAAAATTACTCATGACTTTATTTAAAAGATATACATCACTACTTTTGATGATTGGGATTTTGTCCCATCTTCAGAACCTCTCTCTCCTTTCTTTGACTTTATAATTTAGTGTTTCTGACAATTTTTCACTAAATCATCATTTGATCTTCTTCACATGGTTATCACTCATTTTAAATTCCGCCTAATATCATTAGAAGATAAGTTAATCTTGTTCACATATCAAATTTTCTTAGCAACAATTGATCTTTTTGTGTAAATATTTAGCAAAAAAAAAAAAAGAGGTGCTAGACGAGTTATTATGAGTATAAAAATATTTTCCAATGTATAAGATAATGTTAGAGTAAATGTTAAACATTCAGGGTACTAATCTAACATTGTACTATGTAATTATCCTATTTTTCAACTTTATAATAGAAATTCAAAATAATATTATATTTTATTATATACCGTTAGATTGGAAATTAATTGAATTACTTAAAGTATTTATTCTATCTGGCTTCCCTGATGATTAACATGTGGTTTTAAAAGGAAATTCTTCTAAAATCCTATCAAACGTAATAAAAAGCACACTTCAATAAAAAAAAAATTATCGATTGACATCTACTTATTTTAAAGTAGCATAAAAGAGACATTTGCTTGTTTTAGCAGTTTATAAGAGATTGCTGCTCTGAAATAAAACTAAGGTCTTCCCTTTTCCCAACCCAGATCTGCTTTATGCCCTGAAATAAAGATCAAGTTTCCTCCACTCCCAAGCAGTAGAATATTTACGACCTATCCACCTATCATTGTAATGATTGTATTTTAGTGACATTCTGAGCTAAGTATTAAAGTAACTTTATAGGTACCAAGTATTTATTATCTGAAACATAAAAATGATATAAAGTAAATGATTTTTATAAAAGTTATAATTATATTATATTATGTTTTATTCTGTAGGCTGAAGACTTTGAAGTAGTGTTGGTATTAAGAATAACTATTGCTGTTGTAACTTGTTTAGCATGTCTGATTGCTCTAAGTTTGACTACTGTTTATCATCTTGCGTAAGTAGAATTTGTTAGTTTTTAGATTTATTTAATCTTATGACAAATATGTTTAAAGCAAAAAAATATATTGTAGTAATTTTTCAAGTGTTACATTTACTGATAATGGTAATAATAATTTATTAAATTTGATATTATCATATTATTGGACGTTAAAGTCATCTAACACGATGAAAGTTAATTGAATGATCTAAATGGTACCGAGTTATTCTACATAATTTGAGAATCTGCTGCTATTTTTACCAATCAGACTCAAGAGAATCATCTAGTTCCATCTAGAAATTTACAACAGGCTATTTAAGCCTCACAAAGCAATCAGACTTCCAGTTAATAGCTCATCTTCAGTATAAAAAGAGAGTTGATTTCTTTGTGTAAATGAAGTGTTTTAGAAGAAGGCACTTATCAGTGTTAAGGATGTATTGTTTTGTCAACAAGTTTTGGTGATTTATTTTTTGTATGTATATTGTGAAGTGACATAAATAATTTTATTTATGTTAAATACAATTTAATTTTATTTAAAAATAATAATTTAAATAGTGATTCGTTGGTTACCATTTTCGATATTGTTTTAAACTTTAGTTTTTGATTTTTAAATTAAAATTATTTGAAAATATAAATTTATTAATATATATTACTCTGTACATTCTCATTTCTCCTCTTATATTATCCCTTTTGCTTTCATAATTTATACAAAATAAATTATATACATATTTCATGTATGAACAATGTTTAATTATTCTAATATCATAAGATCAAGAATCGGACACCTCTACTTGTACCTGCCTCTTCAATAATGATTGAATTCTTTAAAAAAAAGTTATGAAAAATGCATAAATTTTACTTTTATCAATTAATTTAATGAATTTTAATCACTTACTGTTGTCTTTGAACAAACAATTAAACATTCCTCCCCTATTCAATAATTGGAGTCATTCTGAAGGAGCCAGATGGACTTTAGAAACGATGTTTCTAAATACTAATGCTGTCCAGCCTATGAACAAAGAATATTGAATATTCCTCCTCAACTTTATTTATTTCTTAAGCATTTGTGGGGTTATGACCTTTTTGAATTTCAGTAAAATTCCTTTGACCTTTCTTTAAACTAAGTTGCTCAATACAGAATAAGAAAATGATGGTCATGAAGAAAATGGTTACCATTTATTTACTTCAGTTTAGGAACTGAAGTAGATGGTAGGTGATACTTCAGTTTAGGATCTTGTTACTTAGCTTACTCTGTTTATATTTTAATGTACTTACTGTTTATAATTTTAATAATTTTATTCAAATTGTTTATAATTTTTTGTCTAAATATTATATAACTTCCACAATTCTCTATATATTTTTGTATCTTGTCCGTTCTAGTCCTGAATAAGATCTGCAAAGTCGTGTCGAAACATTGGTTTTTAATAAAATAGTTTTGTCACTATTTAGTCTATTTATGACCGCCAACACGGACCATCTCCTTCCTTAATAATATAATCAACTATTAAGCATTCAATAGGAATAAGAAAATGTTTTATTTGCAAAGGGGCTAAATAATAATAAACACATGTCATAATATTTACAAATCCTCCTATAAGATTTTGGTCAACTGGTGTTTATTCTTTTATTTTTCGAATTTATAAAATTAGATTTAATATTTTATTATTTTTGAGCAGAGTTTGAATTTGATAATTAGTTTTCCACAAAATCATACAATCATTATTAAATTTTATTTTGAATTTAAAAATCATGCCAAATTTATAAATAAAAATTTAAATCGCTCTTTGGTGTTTATTTATTCGATTAGAAATAATGACCACTCACTGAGTGATATAGTTTGACATAGATAATAATTAACATAAATTTTGATCTTAAAATAAAAATCACCTTTTACACCCAAGTTAAATTAATATTAATATGTATGTATACGTTATTAATGTACTCATTTTCAGGCTGAAGCTCCTTCCCCCAAAATGATAAAATAAAACCATGTCTTACAAAAAAAAAAAATGATCTCAAAAAGTATTATCATTCGTGTAATTACATTTAATAGGACTTCAAGAATCACTTAAACACCATTTCATCTTGTTATTTTGTTTCTTTCTTTTTCTTCTAAAGTAATTATCATTGTATGTATGTAAAAAAAAATAAACTTTCGGGCTGAAGCTCCCCAAATCTAAATCCTAGATCTGCTAGTGCCCCATAATGATCCTCAAAACTTATTATTACCATCCTCAATTTCGTTTCAATATGAAGACTGATAAGAGGTTTTATTTATTCATATTTCAGCTATTTATTCTCTATTTATTTATGAAGATAGAGAAAAAGTATTAAATGGTTTATCAAAAATTAGATTAAAAAAAAAATTAAAGGAAAAAAATTATAATCATTCTATTAAGAGTAAAAATCTTATTTATTTATATTTTATGAAGTCCTAAAAAAAAATCCTTTCTTGGCAGTATTAGTGATTATTAAAATTATTAATTATTTACAGCATGATATTGATATCATTACATCCAAATGAATTTTTTGGTTAAAGTCAAGGCCTTATCCTTGTAAGTCCTTTGTAAGTTTAATGTTACTTATCGGCAGAAATGGATCCTTTTCAGTTCATCACCGTATAAATACCTTATAATTATTAATCTCTACAGACAAGGACCATTGCTTAGTAAGGCCTTTGCCCCAACTGAAAAGGAATGGTTGGGGACTTATCTCTTGAATGAACAAAGCAAGTTGAAGTCAGGCGGTCATAATAATTAAAACAGTAATAAATTTATAATAACCCCAATTAATCCATCCATAAAAGACTGTAAGTACAACAAAATCTAAATGTTCTGTATAAATGGGATTTATGTATCATCGCATCTGAATATGATGTCAATTCTTGAGTACTTTCAGAATTCCATCTATAATGTGATCGCTGTGATGGTACCTTCGGCCTTTATATTGGAGCAGTACTTCAGAATTATTATAGAGATAAAAAACTATTACATAATCATTTACAGCATTTTTTAAAGTAGTACTATGTTAAGTTTTAATATTGATTAATGATTTCAGCTTTTTGAGTACTGACTTGGTTTTTGTCATGATTTTTCCACAACTCGCCATATGTCTTTATTTCGCTGACCACACCAATGTATATGGTTCTTTCTTTGCCTATCTGTATGGATTGATTATGAGATTTTTGGGTGAGTTTAAAGATTTTTTATTTTATTTTTTTAAATAAAATAAATAATAATTAAATAAATTAACCTTTTTTTTTAAATTTTTTTAGCTGGGGAGCCTTTCTTTGGAATTCCATGTATAATAAAATATCCCCTTTACGACTATGAACATAACACTCAAGGTTTTCCATATCGAACACTTATTGCGATAACATCTGCCATAATTTTCTTTCTAATTAGTATGCTAGCAGAGTATCTTTTCATTACAAAAGCAATACTTAGTTCAAAGTAAGTATCAATTGAATTTTTTTTTAAATTCTGTTATTACTTTGCTAGTTTACAGTCTGCTTGTGCAAAGATAGTTCCCAATTCTCTCTTGTGGTGAGGGGGAGGGGGGCAGATCAGAAGATCTAAAAGATAAAATTTAATCCCTACCAGCTCCTGTAGGACTCCCCCATTCCAGCCCAGGTATCCACAGAAGCAAGGAGACTAGCAGACTTGAGGGCCCTCAGGTAAAAAAGATGTCTTTACCAGCATAAAAATGGTAAGCTGTTTTTGCACAATTCATATAACCTATATAAATAAGAGAAGGAGTTAGTCGGGGGTGCGGTCAAATAAATACTAAATTAAAATATAGTAATTATTTTTATTTTTTGCCAACATTTCAACCCACTTTGCAGGTCGTCTTCAGGGCATAGGATGTAGTACTGTGGGAGGCAGTTGAAACACTGCTAACACTTTTAACCTATATAATACTTTAAAATACAGTCCACTGCCTAAATAAGTTGAATGTTGCATATTAAGAATTCATGAGAATTATTTGCCTTGCCTTAATTAAAATTTGAAAAGTTGCCTAAATATTTTGGTCCACCAGACACTATTAATTTTTTATTTTTTTTTTTGTCATATTAGCAATGTTTTACGGTACATAGAGGAGGAAAATCGAAAGTTTTTGTAAAGATAGCCTATTTCGGTATTTTCCCTATTAATTTTTTTTGTTTTTTTAAATATATCTTATGTCGTTTATTGCGTATTTGGGGACGATTAAGGGTCTCCCTCATAGAAAGAAAATTTTATGGTTAGGGCTTCAGAAATTAAGGCACAACTGGAGGAATTTGAAGCGGTGTTGAACAAGATTTTGGTGTTAAATGAATCATTGGAGGAGGAACAAAGGATAGAAATAAATGCACCTTCTTTAGCAGCAGAGAAAGTTTATTATGAGATAAAAATTGTGCATGAGAAATTAATTAAAGCTGAACACATAGTTCCCGCTTCTCAACCCATGTCTGAACCAGTAGCGTATCATAAATTGCCAGATTTACAAATTCCTCAATTTTCTGGACAGTATGAACAATTTTCTTCATTTAAATCATTATTTGATCCCTAATTCATCATCGAAATTACACAGATATAGTAAAATTTTCATATCTCAAGTCATTTTTAGTTCATCCTGCTTCACAGCCCATTTCTTGAGTTGAGTTTAACGCAGAAAATTACAGCTTGGCCTATGATATATCAGTAAAGCGTTATAATAATAAAAAGATTATTGCGGCCTACCATCTTAACAAAATTATGCGGTTTAAACCATTTTCTGTTGATAATTCTTCAAACTTTAGAAGCTTCCTGGATACATTTGAAGATAATTATAATGCCTTAAAAAATCTTAAACCCAATAACCTCGCTGATTTTGTTTTGCTGCATCTCGGATTGAACGTTGTAGACCCTAATCACTTCCTCTAACTGGGAAGCTACATTGAGCATAGAGTTAAAGGCACATCAACAACTCTGATGAGACTAATGAATGATGGCTACCTTTGGCTATAAGTGTCTCTACTCTAAAGCTCTTGTTTGGCAATGT